TCCCTATTGATTGACTGATTGATTCTTAGGTTATTTAATGTTGTAATTTCAACTGCAGAGGTTATATAGTATCAGATGACATGTGAAAATAATCATAAATGGTGGATAGGTAATGAAGAGGAGGGAGGTTGTCATAGTCTATGTGAAGATACTGTCATAACAGTTTCATAATAGCCTTAACAGGCCAGGTATGCATGGGAGGGATGATTATGGTCATCATTATCATAATTTTGGTCAACACATTCAGTAATTGTTTCTTTAGAAGTCCTGTCACTCTTATGGCAGATTTCCCAGTATGTTCAACATTTAAAAGAAAAGGCTAATGAATCTCCCACTTCAGATATAATGCATGTAATTTTTATAATCTTTTCAGGTGAAGATGAAGCTCAGTACTGGAATAAGATGTTCAGAGATCGTGAGCAGAAATTAAGTAGTAATATCCGTGTGAAACAGAGAGGACGGGATAAAATACTGAAAAGAGCTGAAAAAGAACTAGGAAAACATATAAGGTTTGATGATTGAGAAAAGTATAGTGTACTTGATATGTTGACGTTAATACGCACAGATTTGTCTGAAAAGTTCCCTAAATATATTGTTCCATAACTTAAAATATACTGTAAAAGACGAGCAATTTGTGTTTTTGTATGGTGTACAAACCTACTCTTAGCATATGTGCACATGGTAAAGTATTGACATCAAATGACATGGAGGTTTCCAGAATGTAATAATGTATTCAAGTCACAAGTTATTATTTAAAACCCAATATGGGTGATATACTTTGTAATCAACATTTATTCTTTTGTTCCCACTTAATAAAATAGTGGAAGTGCAATAACTATCTGTTCCATCCTCCTCCGCCTCTTCTAAAACCTCCCCCACTTCCTCTTCCAGCACCTCCACCTCTATTAAATCCACCACCACCACCTCCTCGCCCTCTGAAACCTCCACCTCTTCCACCTCTCTGTCCACCACCTCTTCCTCTCCCTCCTCCACCCCTCTTCTGAACAGATCCAGGAGGTTGGGGCAGGAATCTCTTCAATGGCAGAAGCTTCTGTGGGTTGATAAAGAGCTGAAACACAATCAATTGGTCAGCATTTGAATATGGCACACATTATATTAATCCTTTCCATGTTATGCGTGGATTACTTATCTTAAGAAGCAGTGGCCCTTATGGACTACACTTATTTGGTATTTGAGAATGGAAAAAATTGCCTCTGCTATCTCTCAACCACCATTATTTGTGACTTCACAGAAAAAACTATGTTACAAAAAAGTATTATGTCTGAAGAAGGTTCTTTAAATAGAAAACAATGTATAAAGGGTTAATGACTGAGTCTTAGGTTATTTAACCATCATCATCTGCCATTTCCACAGAGGTGGTTTTGTCCTGCGACAAACGTTCTGTGTTCTTATCAATCTA